AAATGCGATCTCTGTCCCATTTACCTTGTTCTTTCTTTTCGTAGCTTCATTGTGTGTCCACATAGTCTGAAATCTGTGGATCTCTCAAAGAGAACATCAGAAGCTGGTATATTATATAAACCATTCAGATCATACATTTCTATCATATCGCTCCTAGTACTTCTCTGTTCCAGTGCCAACAAAGTCATCATTTGGAATCTTGCTCGATAGTCAGCAGCTCAACGAGTTTCCCTGGGAATCATGGCAACTTACTTCTGTACCTTTTCTAAGCGCTTGATGTCCTTGTTGTAGTACAGGAACCATACTACATTGGCATACTCAAGTATTTGTCTTATAGAAGTCGTGTAAATCTTTATATTGGATGAGTTCAACTTCACTTTCCCGCTTTAGATCCTGAGCGATAAGTACATCCAAATCATTCTGTTGTGCTGTAGTGTCCAAGTTCGGCCTGCAATGGTGTAAGGAAGCCTTGAATTTTTCTTAGTGGAGAACTTTACATTCATTAGCATTCAGTGGAAGAAGCCAAGTTTTCGACCAGTTTTCTATTTTGCATGTTCGTCTTATATATTCTGATGATCCATCAGTGGATTTGCAAAAAGTTTAGAATTGTCTGCATAGCAGTTCCAGTAACTATAGATAACACAGATAGTCCATTTCCTAGATTGCTTGTGCACAAAATAAATAGAATTGGTCTATGAACTGATCCTTGAGGGACCCCACTTTTAAGACATAGAGATGTCGACATCTCTTCTTTAATACTCACTTGAAATGTCCAACTCAAAGAGGTGTTCTCGGATCAATGGCAGTAATTTTCCCTGTTTCCCAATGATTCTAATTTTGCAATTAATCATTTGTGAGGAACTTCACCAAATGCTTTTGCGTAATCTAAGTATATTACATCCAGAAGTTGCCCTTCATCCATTGCATTAGTTTAAACATCAAGCAAGCTAATCAAATTCTTGGTTGTTGGTCTACCGGGGACAAATCTATGTTGCTGTATGGGGATTAAATTATTTCTACCAGCATGAACACAAAGTCTTTGAAATATTATTCTCGCTATAACCTTCTACGAGTCAGACTTATCAGACTGTAATTCTCAGTTAGCTGCTTATCACCTTTCTTGAACATAGGCATAACTACAGCTTCTTTTCATACGGAAGATAGTTTTGCTGGGTCTGGTGACTGTGTGAAAAATCTATTAAGTACAGGAGCTAAACGTGTTACACAGTTCTTCAGATAAACTGTCGGAATGCCATCAGGACCAGCCGAGGAACTTGCGTCTAATCATTGAAGTGTTTGAGATGTTTCAATATTTATTAATTCAATATCTTCCAATTGGTTTATTACATTTTTGTCCGATGCTTGGTTGTTGATCCGCAGATTCTGTTGTGTATACCTCATCAAAGCAGACTGCAAAGCACAGCGATTTTTACTGGATCTGATATCAAAGATCCTCCAATCTGGGTGAATTTAAGTGGTCCCATTTCGCACGATACTTGTTTTCAGATACATGTGTAGAACCTCTAAGCTCTGTCCTGTACAACTTGCATTTCATATTTTTCTCTCCTTGTCCATATGTTCAAAGTGAACCTGTTTGAGATGCTCCTATACTCCTCATAGTCTTAAACTGCTCCAAATCTCCTATACCTGTACCATGCTCAGCATTGGTACCATATCATTTTGTCCATATTTTTCTTTTTTCGCGATTTTCGGTGAGTAGGTAATCAGTAGTTGTTTAGATGTGTTGCAAAATATTCCATAATTATCTTCAATATCAAATCTGACATCCTCGTTATTTTTCACGATATTCACCTAGATGCTCCATCACTGACATCTTTAGAAGTTTCTTCTTCATTGTGTAATTCCGTTTGTAAGGTTGTAACAATAACTGGATGATCTTTCCACCCAATATTTGGTCTCAATGTCGGGGGAGTTATAAATACATATTCATTTGTCAGCACTAGATTCAGAAACGTAGGAGTTTGGTTTCCTTTATATCACATTGATTCATTAACATTGGAGAAAGGATCTCCAATTTTTATTGTACGTTGTACCAAGAGTATCCACAGTGGGCATAGTTCGAGCACCTCGATGTATTCTGCGGTGCGATCTAGAATGAAATTTTTGGCAAACTCATTACTTTCTCACTACCGCATACGCAGTAGAGAGAAAGTTATGTAATGCTGTGGGAAATAGATGCAAATTATTTTGCCAGAAAAACTAATTGTGAGACCTTAGTAACGAAAAAGTGGATAAAATCAGTTGCTAAATTTAGAAAAAAATCCTCTAATACGTGGCTACACCAGAATCCATGTTTTATGTGTCCTTGATAGCAAAAAATCGATCAATGGCAAAATTGTCTGTCCATCTATGTGTCACTTTTTCGTTACAAGGGGCCAATAATATGAGTTTTTTTGCCGAAAATTCGCTGATTTCTCGCGCAGAGAAAGTAGAAATTGGAAGCATTCAAGCCATATCAGTTTGGAAGGAAACAATGGCATTCTGCACCAAGACTCAGCAGCAGAAATTCTGTGAATTAAGTGTCACTGTTAGGATATGATTATTGAGCCGCTATTGATGAGTGGTATGAAGCTATATTTCTCAACGCTTTTTGTTTTTTAAGGAGGCAACATTTGAATTTGGTCATTTGACTAAAATAAAATATAGATACATAACTTTTAATTTCAGTACTTAACCCAATTTTGCCAAAAAATGACTAATGAACTTTTACTCTGCAGCACAGAATTGTCAAATTGGTATTATCTACTTTAAAATATTTAGTTTTTGCACTAAATGTTCTACGATTTGTAATGAATTTTAGAAAAAATGATAACTGAGATGTGTTAATTCAGAGAGAAATTGTGGTATATATAGAATTACATAACCATTACTAAAGGCGAGAAAGTACCTGCAGCTTTAGCAACACTAGTTTGTTTTTGTTCTCTTTTTCCGATAACTTTTTAACCCTAGAATTACTAAGGAGAGAGTATCAAAAATTATTTGTTTGTTTCACGTATGTTTCAATTTTTTTATGATACTGAACATCTTTGATATTGCTTATGATGAGCTTTTTGATCAAAATATAATGCAATTACCAGAATTATCACTTTTTTTAAAATATTCAAGCAAAGAAATTAGATGAAAAATTGGAGCTAGTTTTGAGAAAATTGTGTGTTCCAAATTGCCTGTATTTCATGCAACTTTATTAAAAACAATTCATATTTGAAAAATGTGTACACAACCTATCTAAATTTCAAAAACAGTTCTTCAAACAGCCTTGTAATGAGGTGTTCCAACACAATTCCTATTGTACTTGGGTCTGTAAGTGACGATTTCGAATATGTTGCAGTCATAGTGACCGCTTTACGGTGGTTAAAGATTGTGGCGATTGGGTTCGTAGGCTTCCGCGGCCGGAGTCAATGCATTCTTGGCTATCCGGGATGAGCCGCATCTCGGTCACTTGTACTGACGTTTCGGCCATCTTGCGGTGGCCTTCTTCAGAACTATACTGCTTTTTCATCTAATTTCTTTGCTTGAATGTTTAAAAAAAGGTGATAATTGTGATAATTGCATTATATTTTGATCAAAAAGCTCAACATAAACAATATCAAATATGTTCAGTATCATAAAAAAATTGAAACATATGTGTAACAAACAAATAAATTTTGATACTCTCTCTTTAGTAATTCTAGAGTTAAAAAGGTAATCAGAAAAATGTGTTTGAAAGCAGTATAGCGCCAAAGAAGGTCACAGCAAGATGGCCAAAACGTCAGTACAATTGACCGAGACATGGCTCATCCCGGTTAGCCAAGAATACATTGTGGTGATTGATTGTTGAGTGGTTAAATGTATGTTTTTTAATGGATATAACGAAAGCTTATCTGCTAAACAAGGAATTATGAAGGCATGATAATTTAATTATCAATGATTGTAATTTCATCAAATATTTAAAAAGAAATTTTGTTAATCGATTGTCAACTTAGAAATAATAACGCTCAACATTTCCCATAGAGAAATAACTTTCCAATGAAAGAAGTTCTCAAAATATGCTAATGTAATTAAGTGACTTATAACTGCATTGGAGCCGATTTTGAGAATTAGCAAAATATAATTGATTATTTACAATATTTTTATGATTATTAATATTTCACACTGACATTTCGCATGACACTTCGCAATGTTGGCACATTCTAGCATTACTCTATGGTATCAACACATAAAGGGATGAGTGACAATCCAGATGAGAAGCTTTGTTCAACAATGAATTTCCTTTCGTTGGTTAGCAACAGTTTTATCTTTTTTGGGACAAGTCTGTTGGCAATGCATCCCCAATGGGATCATACCTATTTATCCTCATTCCTGCCTATTTTCCCATCCATCACTTTTGAAACTTTCAAATGTTATTTTGTCATTATGAATGTCGTTCTGAAAATAACAGACACAGGAATAGCTTGTGCCTGTCAGGATTGTACTTTTCAAATTAATGATATTGAAAAATGTTACAATGAAGAAGATAAGCAGGAAAATATTGCATAATGTTAATTGGCTCAAACTTAAGAACTCAAGACAAAAATTTATGCAGAAAAGCAATACAGATGCATTGAGATTTCAAAATAAATTGTTTTATGAAAATAATGATGAATAATGATTATAATTTCTTAAACAAAATATGAACAATGTTGGACAAATATCAGAAAGAATCAATGATCACGGATCTCAATAAGGTTTTCTAGTCAGTTTACCTTGATCCAAATGCTGAGATACACAGTTCCTTGCTTCTGAACACCAAATGTAGCTTTTACATGTCACTTTGATTAATGGGTTGTGAAATTAAATAAATAAAAAGGTATGAAGTTTAATAGCTGTCGGGGTAAATAATGTAAAGTGGGGGAAATTACTATAATAAGTTTTAAAAAACTTATTTTCACTAGCCTTTCTCCCCTTGCTTTGTCATTTGCTATAGAATACATTTCAAAACAAGAAGTCTTAAACAAACACACCTTGAGATCTGAAAATCGTGGGCAGCGTGTGAAACAATATGGGCATGCCATATCCCCTTCTCCTTCTTCTGCAGGTGCTTCAACCACTGTGCGTTGCTCCCTGCCAGATGAAGATAGGGGTGGTGCGTGCATATTCCATCGCGGTGCTATGTCTACCTCTCCAGACACTGATGGATCACCACCATCTGTATCAGGTAGCTCTTGCAAGTGAGGTATGCAGAACATATCAGCTGTTGCTTCATCATCATCTTCATCTTCATCTGCACTCTCTGCTTCTGCCTTAATCTTCACGAAAGATGGAGAGCCTAAGCATGTAAAACATACACTGCCGTATTTCAAGATGATAATGCGTGTGTAAATGCAGGAAACAAGATTCAGGCATGGTTTGCGGAGAGCCATAATGTCATCAAAAATCTCCCCTGAGACTGATTTTACTTTCTCCCCCCCCTCCCCACCTCCATGTTTTGACAAAATGGTCAGTACAATTGCCAGACATCACCATTCAATAAAATCCCATTAAAAGTTCCCGGATTTTACGTTTTCCTGCCTTTTCACTAATTTTTCTTTGGTCCCATCGTAAAGCCTATATTTACAATACATTCTCTTCCAGCAATTTACAACTTGTAATGAAGAGTGCTTCCCATCCTTAACATCTTTTACTTTTTTGTATACCTAGTGCAAAGAAAATCATGTAACGCTGCGGCAAAAACGGCGTTTTTTCAACAGAGAAGCTCGTACGGGTACAGAAAAAGTGGACAAATCTTGTCCCATATGTAGTAAATTACTACATATGTATGTGACGAATTCGCAGAAGACTTCAGTTCATTCAGATCAATTGGGAAAAATTAATTTTGGAGAAAATCGGTTGATGGCTTAGGAGCTAGCATAGACCACAGCCGGGCAAACAGACTTTTTGTTGTCAATCAATTTTGCAGTTTCAAGGATCAATAAAACGGGGATTCAGGCTACACCACGTGTAACAGGAAGTAATTTACTAAATATAGAAATGTGATTTACCCGCTTTTTATTACCAGGGTCAGTCAATAGATATTTTGATGAAATTATTTTCAGTGCACTATTTTACTTTCGCTTCTTACGAAGGGCGAGAAAGTAAAAACAGTTACAGGGTGAGACGGTAAATAACTCGCTTAGCCTAACATTTTTCAACTTTTCTGTATTTGATACTTTCTTGCATTTTACAGTTTTTTTCACCAAACACCTGAAAAGTGTAAAAAAGGGGTTTTATTGTAATTGAATTATTATGGGGCATTTTAGAGCAGTGAGGAGCAGATTGGCGGATATTTGCATATATAAATGGAAGAATATTCCGTAGCAAACTATTCACACACACTACAAATCTATTCCATGACAAATTGCAGCTGTTCTACAAATAAATTACAAGTGCTTGAGTTCAAAACATTGCTGTTCAGTAAGAATAATTTCAGAGCATGATCTATTGTATCCATCACATATAGCAAATTTTTCTTCTTCTTCTTCTTTGATGGATAGGCTCAGTGCATGCAGGATTCATCTGCCATTAATACAAAAAATATCAAAAATATTCAAATTTTAACTGAATTTATTATAATTAAATATGAATTATTTAATTATTGAAATAATTTTTTGCAGCTCATTGTTTTTTTAATTTGTAGTATTATTATGTATTATGTTTATTAGTTATAAATTTTCTGTATTAAGTCTTTTGTCTGTAGGGTTTTATAATTATCTCCCTCTTTATAATGTGTTCCTACACACAGCGTTCAGAATTCATGGACCCTTAAAACACATTAAATAGAAGTTTCACTGTATTCTAAACAACCCTCCATAATAATTTTAAGTTAATGAGTGGATAGTGACGGTTGAGTAAATTCTCCCATTACCCACAGTGGATTAGATGTACAAGCAGTAAATCTCTAACTTTTGTTTATCAATGTAATACTGGAAACATGTTACCTATCTACTTAATGCATTGACAATTTCAGTTTGGGTAGCTTGTAAATGTGAAATGGCAAATCATTGCCACAGGAACTAACATTTAGTGACTCTACATTTATAGTCCGAAGCCAAATCTCATGTTTGGAATGTTATTAATGCAACACTGCCCTGACTTTTTAGTGTAGCTCCCTTTCATATTAATATTGAACACAACTTAACACATTGTGAATTTTGTTCATTTACTACAAATATATTTCTTTTATGTGTGATAAATTAACAAACAAAATATCCAAGAAAATTAACAAATTATTCCAATAACTTTGATCTGAAAATATACAAATATTTAAGTGAATCCTGTCATTATTTACATTTTCCTTCATGAATTATTTTCTTGGATAATCTGTAAAATTTTTCCAAAAGGAGCATACTCACCATCCTCAAGCAAGCTGCTTCCAGCTCGAGTAATGCTGATGTCTACTGCAGACGATTCCAAAATTAACTTCTTGTCTTCCATTCGATCTACAGAAGGCAGAGAATGTTCTGGAACTGCAGCAAAATCAGATTTGCGAGAAGGAGCTGTCACTCGGGGCTTTTTGGTTGAATGGGAGGAACCATATCCAGCTGAACTGCGAGACTCGCCCCCTGAGGATTCTCTCTTATCCACAATCCGAGCACGCCCAGCTGCTGGACGGATGCCCACGTCCACCCGTTTTTGGCCCTGCATATCAGTGAGAAAGTAATGCAACAGAAAAACAAAGGAAGAACACACAAGCAAATCGTAATAAAGAACATATACTTGATATTCAAAAGAATGGATTTGAAGTAACAGAAAGACCCCTCTTTTTGACAAATGAGGTCAAGACAAAATGAAAAGAAATGAGCCAGGAGTTTTTTTTTACTTTTTTGCCTTACGACTTCTTCATAAGAAGAGAAAGTTAAGTATTCATGCAATGGTAAACAATGAATTTTCGCCATAAAAATTCTTATAACTAGGCTCTGGTAAAGTGGATAAATCCTATTGCTGAACTTACGGGGGAAAATCCCATAATATGTGGTGTTGCCAAAATCCATGTTTTGTTGGTTCTTGATATGGAAAATTCGATTAATGGCAAAACATCCGTCTGTGGTTACACCATTCAGTGGCTAAAGTGGCTAAACCGTTCAGCTGATTGTACATTTTTTTGTAAAATTCATACATTGTTTGTTTCTTTCATTGTGTGTTTTGTACATTGTTTTGTTTTTTGTGTGCTCGAAATTTACGAATTTTTTTTTTGAAGACTGGACCAATTTTTTTCTTTAAATTTTCTCCACATATGTAATTAGGGACGGTAGTCCCAATTTCAGGTATAGCTCGTTATTTTTTTATTTTTTTTGCAAAAGAATCTCAAAACTACACAATTGATGACATTTTTGCCTCAGAAAAAGTTTGCTGTAGAAACTTAGCTATTTATTTAAATAAATAAATAAACTAGTGATACAAGAGAATATAGCATCACTAGTTTATTTATTTATAGAATGGCACAGATTTTCTCACCCTAATAAGTTTTCTAATCTCTCTACATTTAAGCCAGGCCTTCACGGCCGCTTTCATTTCATTCCCAAAAAAACATTTTTCCCCCTACATTTTCTCAATTACTAAGCTATGTAATGCTAGAACAGAAACCACCATACACTTATTACTATTATAAAAGTATTCATTTCATGGGCTGGCCGAGGTGGCTAAATCGGTGGGAACGGTTCCAGCTCTTCAGAGGGAAGGTTTGCTGGTTCGAGCCTTGGCAGAGAATTATTATTTGTTACAATTCTGAGTTGCCGCAGGAAATAATTGAGGATTTCACAACTTCATTAAAAACCATTTGAAGCAATTGTAAACACAAATACTAATAATCAAGACAAATTAACTGAAGGTGTCTGTACGTGATTATCGAATTTTTAACTTTTTAACTATTTTTCACATATCTTATTAGATTTGTAAAACTTATGAACCATCAAATCAATTGTTGTCTTTCGGCACATTACTATTATAGAAGTGCCCATTTTTTGTACAACCCAGGTGGCCAAAGTGATTAAATTTCGAGTTCGGTCTCAGTGTTTCGTGAGACCGGCTGCTGTTTCGGGCTGGCTCAGGGATAATTATATCACTATTGTTGATTATTTGTCACACTGTTGATTTTAACCAGGAAAAATTATTTACTGTGTTATGCCTGCCCAAAAGACATTTAGGTTACATTTTGTTAATTTTTCTGCTGCCTAATACTAACAACTGAAACATGAAGCTCTCATGACTATTATAGGAGTGCCTACCCCCTGTATGGTGGTCAAGTTTTTTAAAATTAAAATTAAAATTGGTCAAAGTTATGTTGATGTACACTTCATGGATACCTTCTCTAGTTTGTTGATAGCTTATTTGCTTAAGTGCAAATGAGGCAAGCAGAGAACCTGAAACCTTCTACCCAAGACCTGCTTCTTGTGATAGAATACAAACGACACAATATCCAATAGCGAACACTGGAATACAAAAATAAAATTATGTACAGTGCCCCAGGAAAGTCTCTCTGCATTGGCATCAGTGGCTGGTGAGAGTGCTAGGCAAGAGAAATCAGTAGCAAGCACACCAGCTTTTAAAAAATGAAAATGTAAATTGCATACTCACTCCAATTGTAACAGATGCTGAAAGAGTTCTCCCATTTATTTGTTTCCCAGTGGCCTGGCTGGTATGAACATAGATGTAATTTTTAATTGGAAACACTGATTATAATCAGTGTGGAGAGACTTTCCTGGTGCATGTTATTAGGTTTAGTGTTGAGTAATTTCAGTTTAACGATTTACTAATTAGAAGTACAGTAAATTAAACTACATGTGTTTTCTTTTGGGTCTCAAAAATTAAAGACCACCAAAGCAGTGCCAGCACATTAAAGTAGCTCGTCAGTGGCATTTAAATAAAGAGCTAATGAGAACACCGGGTCTGAAGAATTAGGAGTGCAAAGGGTTATCTCAAATGGTTTCGATTAAAAGTTAAAGGACACTATGAAAAATCACAAATTTTGAGTTTTCTCAATGAACACTGATTTTAAATTTTCACAAAAAACCAAAAGGGACAGTCTTTCAGTCAGTAATATGCCCTCCCACAAGTCTTCAGACAGCCTTCACATGATTTGGCATTGGGTCCATCAGTCCCCTGCATTTGTCGACAGAGACGTCTCGCCATAACACTGCAAATTTCTGTTTTTAACTCTTTCCTTTCATTTGGGCTTCCTTTTGACGAACTTGTCTGCCATAGAATTCCATATGTTCTCAATGGGATTAAGGGATCGTGCTAGCCATGGTAATAGTTTAATATTATTTTCTTTAAATCACACTGCCATAAAGTGACTCACGGTGTCACAGGGTGCATTGTCTTTCGGAAAAAAGTAATTCTCTTCCAGTAGCATAGTCAGTTACAGACCATTCCTTCATCTAATACTTGGACACATCCCTAGCTATTCAATGTTCTGTCAATAATGTACTGTTTTCCAGATCCTTCACAGGTTAAGCATTCCCAAATCATGTTTCATATCCACTTTGATCGGAAGGTGTATTGCAGGATGGCAGAAATGTTCCTGTTCAAGTGTGCCTAACCTTCCCTTACCATCTCAGATATAGCACTTGAATCTGCTTTCATTAGGGAAAAAAACCCAACACCTTTGCCAGGTTTCTTCAATATTATGCCTCTCATAACACTATCATACTAGCCTTTTCGTATTTTGCTCGGTAAACAAAGGTTTATGCAAGGCTAAATTAAACGTGAGCCCAGCTTCTGTTAGACAAGGACCTAGGTTATACCACTGATGTTCATTTCCAAATTATTCTCCACTTTCACTAAAAGATCAGGAACACTATCTCTACAATTCTGTTTACTTATGTTTACAATTGCATGGTCAGGTTCTGGACAGATTAGTCTGACCCTTTATGGGAAAAAAACAACACCAGTAGCTTAAATTTTTTTTAGTCTGTTTCATGCAGGTTTTTCTGCAATTTGTCTACAGCTCATGGCTGTGTTAGTGTTACAATGAAATGGCGCTAATTAAAAACACAATCAAAATTAAAAATCAGCTTTTTGTGCAAAAAGATCTAGACAAGAAAATGGGTTCAAGCCTGTGACAAGAGATATCACACATGCTTTATTTAGAAAACGAGATCGTCCAAAGAGGCTTTTCTGTCAAACCCACACACATATCAAACTCCATTAGACTAGGTATGTGACAAATATTTTTAATTAGAATATATCAAGCCTTTGGAATGACAATGTTTCAACTGACAAAATCAAATAAAATGAGTTGGTAGGGAGATAAGGTTCAATCAGACTTTTACAACATGCAGATTTCCTATGTTGCAATCCGTGGACTAATTACTACTGCAAAATCACTACTGTACGTGGAGAGATGTTCCAATAGGTGGTGAAATGAAACTTTGACATCTATTTACTCAAAACAACTGAAATGTTAGTTAGAATGTAGTCATTCCAAAGAGTTAATATGCCTCATTCATTAAAAACGAAGTATACTTTAAACATATTGCCAGTGTACCTTGTAGCGTGTCTCTCGCCGATAGGGAGTGGCATCTCCGTTGTTGGCACTGGCTGAGCTAGTGACGGCTGGACTGTTGCTGTTAGAAGTGCTGCTAGATGAACCGGAGGGGCCACTGGCAACAGGAGCACAAACTGCATTGGCTGTGTTAGAAGCGGTGCTGCCACTAACATTGGTGTTAGCTTCCGTGTTGGTATTGGAGCTGGGAAGAGCACTTTCCCCCACATCTGGCTGAGCCTACATGCATAACAAAAGGACTTACTCTTACTGTTAAATTTTCATAAGAGTAAAAATAAATTTCTGGACAATGTTTTGCAAGTGGAAATTTCAAAAATTTAGATTTTTATTTTAAACCTAATGTTTTCTTACCAAAAGATAATTCTGAATTGCATCATTGTACCAGTGTACCCTTGCACACAAACAGCATAAAGAGAGATTTCCCAGAACCACAATCAAGAAGATTCAGCAACATCCTCAGTACACTCTGTATGATTTAAAATCGGATTCAAAGGACAAAAAAGCATTGCCTAATACAACAAATCCAAGACGTCGTGGCAAAGAAATATTGTAATATTTCTGAAAGTGAAGACATTTGGTAAAACAATTCAAATCTGACATGATTACAGGGCACGCATTGAATTTTAGGAAAACCCTGCTATTCAAGATGTACAGTAACCCTAAACTGCACTAACTCTCCGTTCTGACATGTCTGACAGTGGCGGTTGGAGCACCCCATAAACTGACTCCATCGCATGACAAAATTGTAATTTCCAAAATTCAGAACAGTGATGTGTAACAAATTGAAGGCAATTCATCTAAATTAATAAAAAATTGTTTAATAAAAGTTTGTATTGATACATTACTTACATAATTTTATGTGCAGTGTCTATGTAGGGTATATTCACCTCCCACGCATGTGGTTATGGCTTTGAGTAAGAGTGGGCACTCAAGTTTTGTATTAGCTAGGCCTTGAGAAAATTGATGATAATAGAATCCATACAAAACAAACTAGTGATGCTACAAAATGGTACAGACTCTCTCGTAGTAAAGTTTTCCAATTTCCTTGGACTAACTTTATGATCTTGTCCCATCTTGCCAGCTGCCATCTGTTATTTTATTCATCTGTTAATACATTTTTTGAAGTTTTCTCAATTTTTTGGTTTCCTAATGGTAAATTTGAAATATTACTTACAGGATATTAAAACATCCATTATGGCAATTTCACTGAAAAATTTGAACACGTTTTTAAGAAAATGGCGTTTAAGCATTATGTAAATGTGAAATCTGAAGCTCTTTTTCACAGGAAACTTTCCAATTTTGTTCCTTCATTGGAAGTCGTTTAAAGCTCTTCCACTCGCAAAAGCAATAATGTGTAGAAATTGCTTGAAATGTGCATGTTAAAAGCGTGAGAGATATTTCAAAAAAATTACATTTGTGTAATTTTTGAAAAAGCGAAATACAGCAAAATGAATTTTTTGTGGTCCTTTACAGTGCATTTCGCACTATCTGCATGAAAAGTTTGAAATAAATTAAGAGTGTTTTTTGAGAAAATGGTGTTAGAACATTTCTGAAAATGCAAAATTTGCTCATAAAGGCAATAATGTGAACAAAAAGTTGCTAATGTGAATATTGATAATGCGAGAGGCTAGTCAAAAAGTTACAGTCTTGCAATTTTTGAAGGAAAAAAAAAAGAAAAAAAAAAGAAAAAAAGAAAAAAAAAGAAGAAAAAAAAGAAAAAAAAGTGTTGAAAATCATAAGAGTAAGTCAACAAAAGTCACTTTTTAAAATACCAATGTTTCGGCCATTTATTTGGCCCACTTCAAGGTTGTAATTAAGGGAATGTTAATAACGACATAAATTTACAACACATGACGCCTAACATACCCTTATTGACTGTTATTGACCTACCGTCATGATTCTCAACATTATTTTTATAATATGAGGTCCAGGTCAACAGAAAGAGCAATATGTTGTTTATAACATCTCTAATAGCACTATTTAGCATTTAGCATTCTCATTAAGCACTACACATTATGGTTATTACCAGAAGTTTAAACAAAAAATTTGGAGCAGTTTTTGAGAATATCTTTTTTGTTATGTTTTAAAATTGCATTTTAATGCATGTAATATTGCACGAAAACTTATAAAATTTGCAAAAAAATATGCCTGACCTTTGTGAAAAACACTAATTACAGCCAACAAATTTCTCTTGAAGGAAAAATTTCTATCTTCAATACACTAGTTATAGGAAGCAAGAAAATTCAATCTTTTGACATTTTCGAAAAAGTCAGAGTTATCAGTGAAAATCAGACCTATGGCACTATTATAAGTGTATGTTACTCTATTCTTACAAGAAATTTAAAGAAAAAATTTTTGAAAATGACCGGAGCCTTTCATGTAAAATATCTTCAAATTTTAAAAACTGTTTTTCAAAATCTCAAAGCTTCGACTTGAGCCAGTTGAACAGGGTTATCTTCAAATTGGAAAATATCCTAGGCATGGTTTAGTATTGTTAACATACATCGGACAGACAGATGGGCATTTAGAAAAGAAAAGAAAAAACAACATTTTTATGGTATCAGGGAACTACAAAATGTGTATTTCAATTGAAATCACGAAATCGAATTTCCACAGCATTACATACCTTTTTCTACACTACATATATTATTCTCAATATATGTATGTATATGAGAAAGTAAACAGAAATCTCCAGCACTTTGTAAGAAGCACTACTGTTAGATCCCCATTTTGAAAATTTCACTACCCTGGAATATATTGAAATAACGAAAGACCTTCCATACACACTCTTATTCACAATAATGCTTGCAGACTGTGCAGATGAATGTGCGAACTGTTCCCCAAAATAAGGACTTACAAGTCAACAATGAAAAATCAACAGAAAAGAATACGTGAAATTTACTGTGTCAAGCCCCGATTCCAAATATGTGCTTAGATTTTCTCCAACAGGAGTCAGTTTCTGAGACATGACAGTTTTAATATGGTAACTGTACAAAGTACCAATGACAAAACCTGTCCTTCAGGAAATGCTGTTGCTGGGGATGAAATGAGCTTGTTAGTGTATCTGAAAACAGTTAAAGGAAAGCAGAAACAGAAGATTTTCTTAAGAGCCTGAAAAACACAAGTGTTCTCGATTGATCCCCGTAAAAAAACAGTGTTTTCTATCTCTTCATAAAAAACTTGGATTAATGGTTTGGTGAAAATGATGGGCAAACCGAACTGAGAAGCATTCCAGTATCTCTGTGAAAAATTTTCAAAAATCTGCACAGCAAAAGCTAAGGAAACAATATTCCCAAATCCAAGAAATTTTAGAAGATGCATTCAACAAATTATGACTCCAGAAGAACAAGATGCTCGAACTAGTTTTCAGTGGGTGGGTGGGAGAACATTTCCTAGTGAAAAAAAAAATCATCGAATTTTTTTAATGGAATTAAACTTGTGTACATTTCAAAAATTGGGCTGTAGAATGTCACTAAGCTACACTTTCTACACTCTCATTTAGGTTTCTCCCTTTCTAACCTTGGTGACATGAGCGATGAACAAGGTGAGCATTTCCACCAAGACATAAAAACAATGAGCAAAGCTACCAAGGATTCTGGAATGACTACATGATGGAATATTTGTGCTGGATGTTATACAGTGAAGATCCTGAAGCAGTTAACAAGAGGTGTGGGAGTTCATCACATTTCTGAGAAAGATTTACTGCCATTTATAAGGAAATGGAATACAGCTGAATTTTCCTGTAATAAATTGATACGCTACAAAGACAAATAGTGGGTGCTTGCACAAATCTGTATGCATACCCATAATCTGTGTTAAAAACTGGTTTAGAAATATATGCTTATTTTTTTGAAGATTACAACAAGTTTCATTTTTTAGACCTGAGTAATTGACTGACCTTGTATTTTTTTAATAACATGCAAATTTTATACACTTAAATTAGAGCTAATGACTGACAAAGTCAGAAAATTGGTATTTTCCACAAACTCAAGAGCCGCATTCAGTGACCAGACCCCTACCCATGGAAGGAAACTGTTTGCCCCACAAAAGGCCCTATGTTGAAGTATAAGGCAAAAGTGTAAATGCAGTAATAGAGCCAAGAGAAAGACAGTTCTCCTGGGAAAGCACTAAATGCCAGAGAGAGACCTCATTGAGCACTCTTTGATTTCAAAATGATTTCATATACATCAATATTGCTGCAATAACTTGAATACTGAATGACATTACAAGGAATATGTATATTCTTACATTTCAAGAGCTTTTTTGATTATCTGTGCCTTGTGCAACCTAAGCAAGAGCCACCACTGGTAACTGAATACACATCTGCCCCTAAGTGAACTTGTGTGACCTCTCAGAAAGCAACCAGTTCACACAATCATCTGAACATGCATCATAATGTAAATACAAAAATGCTATGAATACATAAGCAGGAACTAACAAATTTTAATCTTTCAAATAGAAAGGGGATTAATAAGTAAGGTTAAGGATTGAGAAGTTATGTTCCCACATCTTCATGTATTATCAAATAAGAAGCAGGCCATTGCACTACTGTATTTATGCAATCATAAATACCCTCCTAATTTTCAAAAGGCCCCAAGATTCCTGGTATTCATTTTCAAATATTTGGTAACTTTTTTCTCCCGCACATTCAAATAATTGAGTTTTACTTAATTGTGAGAAAATAAATACAGGTAGTAACTATTTCAAGTATTTTGATGACATTTAAGTAACTTCTAATCGATATTTTGGAACAACTTCAGTGTACTTACAACTTTAGATGCCTTCAGGGATGCAGCTAACTCCTCAGCATCTGGCTTTTTGTCAACTTCCTCCCTCACAGCCTCCTCTTCATCTGCTTCCTCTTGTTCTTTATTCTCATCCTTCTCAGGAGTATCTTCTGCAGGAGTCTTCTGAAGGGATTGAGAATCCACAATCACAGGAGTAACATCTATTTCATCAGTCATTCCACTTAGTTTGTCACTAGCTTTTGCAGTGTGTTCAGCTTTCTTATCATCCTGCAAACAGCACATTTAATTACATACACTATGTAGTCAACAGTATACGGACACCTCCAAAATGCTTGTTTTTCATGGAGGGGGCTCGCACCCCTTGTTGTGTTGTTTGGCATTATCATGGCACAGGCATACGTTGATGTTTTAAACACCTTCTTGCATCCCACTGTTGAAGAGCATTTCGGGGATGGCAATTGCATCTTTCAACACGATCGAGCACCTGGTACTGCACGGCCTGTGGCAGAGTGGTGACACGACAAAAACATCCCTGTAATGGACTGGCCAGCACAGATTCCTGACTTGAATCCTATCGAACACCTTTGGGGTGTTTTGGAACAATGACTTCATACCAGGACTCACCGACCTACGTCAATACCCCTCTTCAGTGAAGCACTCCATGAAGAATGGTCTGCATTCTCCATGAAACCTTACAGCACCTGATTGAAAGTATGCCTGCAAGAGTGGAAGTTGTCATCAAGGCTAAGAATGGGCCAACACCTTATTGAATTCCAGCATTACTGATGGAGGGGGCCACAAATTTGTAAGTCATTTTCACCCACGTCTGGATACTTTTGATCAGATCAGTGTATTATACTAATACCAGGAACAAATATCAAAGCATGGCCTGCACAATAAACATAATTAATGAAAAATATTGACAAAGTGAAGAGTTTTGAAGAAAAACTTCATTCCACATTTCTTTTCTACAGACACCTTACATACTAAAAAAACATCAATAAATTTAATATAATACTCAACAATATTTTCTTAAGTTTCATATACCAATAAATTTTCTAGTTAGAGCATTATTTAATTTTTTTCCCGTTTCTTTCTTGAGGGGAGTGTATTGCATTTGTTAATAATTATTTTAACCAATTTGTGTGTGGCATGGTGGAGATCTCTGAATTACCATGTGTCCCTTACCAACTCTCATCTTTCAATTCCTCTCAGGCCTTGGTGGTTTGAGGGCAGGTATTACATAAGCTGAGCCTTAGTGGCCCTAGAAGTTTTGAGACATTGGTGTACACATTACATCCAGGCTGTGGGTTCTAATCTGCAAAAAGCATGGACGTATTGCAGCATGATGAAGCTCCTCCATTCACCATGTGTTACCTTTCATATCCCCTTCCTTCTATACCAGATTTAATTCCTCTCCTCTGAACTGGCTGTGTGCTGCCCAGATGGACTTAAGGGGTACCACAGCATATATGTTCTTGCATTATTTCTAAATTTGTGAAAATTCGTATTCAACAAAACAAGGACCTGCATCATTCTTTTTCAAGTGTTCCTTGTTCCACCCATGGAAAAAATTTGGAGAGGTTTTTGAGAAAAAGTTTCTCAAAAGTTTGCATTAAATTAATGCATTAGATTTTGTTGAAGACAAAAATCTTTATCATCAAATTTGGAATGTTTACTTTTTGCAATTTTCAAATATGTAGAGTTTACCAGAAACGGGACTAGCAGCAATTCTTTTTACTGTTCTTTGATATATACGAGGTCAAAATCTGAAGAAAAATGTTGAGCCCTTTATGTACATAATTGTTCAAAAATTGCCAAATTTCTTGGGAAATCATGCAAAAACTACCATACATTTCTGCATATAAGACGACCTTCAGATAAGATATGGTATACATTTTCATTATGGTTTTATTGTTTAATCATATCTGTCTCATAAAAGTGACCCCCAAACTAATTCACTGACTTCTGGTGAACATTCTTAGTAGTTATGGCATTCGGGCATTGATGTACTATTATGATAAAGGAATAATCTCTTTCAGCATTGTTAAATTTTTGCCTGTAGAAGAAAGTGCCAAATCACAAACTCGTATGCATCACCACTGACACGTTTTGTTGTACGTTGTGTCAAGTATTCAAACAATTTGAACTTTTAAGTATAATAAGTGTAAAATGTGGGTCTAATCAGGGAACCAACAATTGTTTTTCAACTGTCCTACAAGTCAACCCTGTGTATTTCGTGGTCTTCTTTTGTGACTCATGTATCATCTTATTTACCAAAATATACAGTACTCATATTTTTGCAAAATTGCACATGAAAGTTAAAGAAAAAAAATTATATTTTTAATATTAGTTGAAGGAAGACATCACAAAAATATTTGAATTTATGCAATTTTACAAAAATCACAGTTTTTAATGAAAGTAGGACCCGCACCGCTCTTTTAAGTATCTTTAAGACCATATGAGAACAAAGATTAAGCCAAACATTTGGAGCCATTTTTGAGAATTTTTAAAAATGTAAATGAGGCTTCATGTAATGTACCCTTCAATAGTAAAATAATTGTTTCTAAACTGCAGGGTCTCGAGTTCCTTTATATGAATCAGGGAATATCAATATTGGAGAAAATCAGCTTGATGTACAATATGGTTAAGGTGTTATGGTGCAATAGAGTTAAGTTGCGTTGACCACAGACAGACGTTTTTCCCATCAATCAATTTTTCAGTATCAATGACCCACAAAACATGAATTCTGGCTACACAAAGCTAACGATTTACCATAATGATAATTAACTAGAATTTACCATACATAGAAACTTGGATTTATCCACTTTTTCATTACCAGGACCCAGCAATGCAAGATTTTCTTTCAAAAATTCGCTGCTCCTCTGATTACAATACTTTATCTTCTTATAAAGAAAGGGTGAGACTGTGAAATAACCTTACAATTAGCTGAGGTGGGCCAACAGGCCACCTCTGGCAGCCGAAGAGGGGGAAGGACAACAACATACTACAAGGAACTTTGGAATGGACATGTTGGAATCCAACTTTTTATATACAGTGAAATTTGTCTAAGCCAGATTCGATCAGAATGAAAAATTTCCAGTTTAGGGAGGTTCGTGTTGTATATAGGGTTGTCCATTTTATGACTTGTGATACTGATATTTCTATCCTGAAACTAGTAAATTAAAGTAAGTAAAGTAGTTCTTAAAGAAAAGTAAAAATTACATGATATTATTATTATTATTATTATTATACCTTTACATGTAACATATTTATGGAAAATTTATGGAAATCACCAATATATTAATATTAAACATTCTTCATTTACAGCTCCTGAGTTTCTCTTGCTTCTATAAGTTTGACCTTTTCATCTGATGTTGCAGTTTTATGTTTTTTCCGACCATTGTTACACTGGTAGTGAAACTCATAAAAAAACAAAAAAAACATGTCACAGCCTAGTGGCTCCAGTCGGACTGCTTGCTGACTCTTTCAATGCACAATACATCACAGCAAATTACTATGACTTTCTGATATCCTCGCATGGCCTTGAGCAATGCATCTGTGGATGAGGGGTTACAACTTTCAACACAGTGCAGGGAAACATTTGAATAGATACCATGCCATACCTTCCCACACTAAGAGAGTTGGGAGAGAGAAAATTCCCCCATGAGAGCCAAGCAACCCAAAGTCGGTTTCTATGCTGGACAGCTGAATGACTTCACAGTGCGGCTGCCATGACAAAATCACTTGTCACAGGGATAGAGAACTTAAAAGCAGACTTCCAGTTATATTCATTTCAATGAAAATATTTCACACCCCTCTGCCAATTGGATTAAATTCACAGGAATAATGATTTATAAAGTTTTCCCCCCCTGACGACATGAAAAAAATCACTGTTTCCGCGTTGGACAGGTTTTATGCTGCCAGAGGTAATGACATAACATTACAGGCCACAGAAATTTCCCGGTAAGGGAGGTTTCCAGCTTTTACAGGTTCTGAATTAGACAGGATTTACTGTATAAAAATTTTTTTTAGTAAATCCAATAGGGCAGTAAATAATGTTAAATTTTCTGACGGAAGATGATAATTAAATTATCATCCACAAATGTTCAAAATATTTTTAAAATTTTAATGAAAGGAGTGGAAAGCTTTTTTATTTTTACAAACTCACCTTCCAGTTATGAATTGTTACTCTCGGCTGAACATTCTCAACAGGAGTTTCAATCTCACTTTCATGCTCAGAGGCTGAGTCAGGTCGATATTCATCACCACCAGGGATACCATCTACAGAAAAGCCCTTCACCTGTAGAAATTGAACAAGGGTACATGTTTTACAGTAGCTAAATAAGATTGTTTCACCTCAAGGAGTGATATTTTATCATTAATAACCCTGCTTAACTTACCCCCTTAGTATAAACCAGGGGTCAGCAACCTTTTAAATATTGAAGACCATTAAATTAGCAATTTAAAAATTTCACTGACCACCACCATAATTCTTATGAAAAAGTATTAAACGAATTGCCAACAATTTTCTAATTTTCAAGTGCAATACAAATTGATTAATTTTTGTAAATTATATTTTATTCAAAATAAATTTTATACTAATTTTATGAGTAATACAAGTCTTTGATATCAAGGACTCTGAAAAGGTGTATTTTAACTATACCACATAAACAAGAGAAAAATAACATTTTCGGTATTAGGGTCCAACGAAATGAGTTTTTCTGTTATAACATTTGACACTTTTTCTTGCAGTATTACACAACTACAAGGAGTATGTGAGAAAATAAAAATTAATAATCTTTAAACTAGTGCTAAACATTTTGTATAAAGCATAATTAATAGTAGGTAAATAAAAATCCGAAACTGCAAATAATATTCCAGTGAAATTAAACCATTATCAAGCAGCAGAGACTCAAGCAAAAAAACTATTTGCTTACAGTGGAAATAAAAATTATTTATTATCATTAAATTATTAGATATTTTGTATTAGGCTAGATTCTAATGATGAATCTAAATTTTCTGACATATGAATTTGAACTAAGCTAGATATGATAAAACCATTTTAATGCAAGGCTCCCAAATTACAACTAGTATTAAAGAAAAAAAAGGAACTCACCTTGAATTCACACGCAGTGGCAATAACTGCTGACAGTTCTGCTTCCGGGACATCAACCTGTCCTCGGTACATGAATCTTAAGAGAGCTTGCATCTCGTGCACATTCACTCCCTTGAGAATGAGCACAGGGTGTTTACAAGGAGTCTCTCGAAATACTGCTTCAAAATATGGACTGCACGCTGATAAAATCACCTACACAAAACAAAGTATGACAGCAATGTTATTATATGGCTCCTGAAGCAGAGAAAGCAGAAGAATCCTGACACATTTCCTGAAGCACAAGAATAACCAAACACATGGAGCAGCTCAAATGAGTTACTTTAGGCATTTCCTTGGCTCTACTAGAGTAGACTGACAGAGAAACAATGATATAAGGAAAAGACTCAAGACAAATGTAATACAGGTAGTCACAAAGAATCAGAAGAAATGGCTGGAACACATTAGAAGAATGAATGAAGAAAAATTCCCAAAGGCTCCTCTAAAACACAAACCAGTAGAACAGAGAAATATGATAGGAAGATCAAGAGAGATTGATTGACAAATGATTTTGGGCTTATCAACTGCTAAGGTCATTAGTTCTGTTAGTGTAGTGCTTGCTTTATCGTAGGAGGTGGAGGTGATCTTCACCCCACAGGATGGCGACCTACCTGACTGCTTGCAAGGTTTTTCCTCAAACGGGTATCTCCTACCTATGGGGCAATGCCCCAGATGGGACAATCTAGCTCCTGATTAGTCTCTTGCAAGGTAGAGTAATGCATATAAGTGTTTGTGTGCGCAAGTAAGGGGTGAGGATAAGGAAAGAAAGAGAAAGGAAGGCCCATTTGTTAGGGTACTGCTCCAGCATTTCCCTGGTGTTGATTGGAGAAACCACGGAAAACTACCTATGAGAGCAGTTGACTGTCAAGAAAGAAATGGATCAAGCACGAACAGCTGAAGATTAATAATATTCTCTTCTGCTCTACTACTAAAGACAGAATCTTACACAGTTCTATTCATTCTACAAAATTCAACGATGATGGAAGATAACAAAATGGATACTGAAAGATAATTTGTTTCTTTTGTGAAGACATCTGTTTTCAATGTCATTATTTAATGATACGTGTTTATCAGAGTTTTTTTAGTACCACATTGTTTTAAGAAAAGACAATACTTATAGAATTATGAAAACTATCTTTACTGCATAGCTAAGTTAACTTGTTTAGCACTAGCTGATCATAATGAAAGCGTAAGGAAAGGTCAAGTTTTGCATTGGTGTTGCCAAGAAATGAAAAGATAATGCAATCCAGCTTTTTCATTTTTTAGTTAGCTCCAATTTTTAGCAGTTAACAATATGTGTTCCAATTGTTTGGTAGAGTAAAAAGTATAAGAAGACATAGCCTCCTTGCTGAATGCATCACTAATATTAAGACAGAGTTATGATTCTCTTGCCCTAATAAAAAGTCCTTACTATATCCATTATGTACTATCCAAAAACTCTTCCAAAAACTGACAATTTTCAAGAAATTAATATAACAATACAGATAAACAAAAATACCCCTAAATGAAAGAAACAATCCTATTTATAGTTTTATTCTAGGTTCAAATAATTTTCACAACACAGAACTTAATACTGTTTATGATTTAATTTATCTTCTTCAAAGACACTTTTCAACATTCTCAAATAACTTCATTTTTGGTAGTCAAGACTCATTTCTTGTCTTCTGTGGCCAAAAATAAGTTTATGAGCCACAGAAAGTAAGTTTATGAATACACATTTAATTCCATTCAAAATTCCTAAATAATTTCACCACACACTGAATTAGCCTTTAAATCAGAATGATGAATCTAAATGCAAACATCAGTGAGATAAGTCATGGCCAGACACATTTACAAGTGAATTCAAGACGAAACTGTACACTTAACAGTAAGGCTTGCAGAGAGTAAATAAAAAAAGCTTGACAAGACATCCTGTTACTTTGATTACCCAACCCAAATCTGAAGCAGTAGTCATATTGCAGTTACTCAGTGATAGATACGAACTTCCAACTCAATGAATTAACATTGATCATGAACACATTTTTATTTAAAGAGATATTAATATTTTTGTAATTTCTTTAAAAACTATTATAACTGAATCTTACAACCACTTCTTTGCAGTATGGAGTCAGTTGCATTCCTGGGGATAGACGGTCCAGATGGCCTGTTAGGAACGCCACAACGCCACACAAGCGGAGAAGGCGAGAAACAAGGGTCAAGAACTGAGAAAAGCTACGAGTCTTGGTAGGTCTTGAAAGGTCATACTCTCTTCCCTCTCTGTTGTGAATATGCCAAATGTTAAAGTTGTTTATATTTTATTCCTATCTTGTTATGGTATGGTATTATTATGGTTTTCTTGTCAATGAAGTACTCACATTTTTCAATAATTAGTTTATTAACCATTTAAGGTATAACACCTGGGACATAAATGAAGAAATTTATGTCTGGGGAGAATGGTTTAGGATGCCAAAACATACCTTATGGGCTTTGAGAACTCCATCTCTGCAAGCTATTGTGACATCCACTAGACTCTGGTTGATGTACAAAGTCTCCAGCACAGCTTGCATGTTTCCCAGGTGGTTACTCCACTCCAAGTGGAAGGAATTGTTCCCAGACACCATTGAGCACATGGTGACAAGTGGTGACCCTCAGTTCAAATTACAACATGTACTCCTGTAACATAACATTGTAACGAAAGTTCTTACTTGAAGTCATAACACAAAGCAGAAAAATGCAAAAAACGTCTACAATAATAGTGCATTGTTTTAATAGAACAGAAAACCTCAGCCATACTTCACAACTCTTTCACAGGGAACACAGTAAACAAACTATTGATAAAGAAAATGTAATTAGGGATCACAGCAATTAAAGTTTCCATACATATCCTTTATTTATTACATTCCCTACGCTTGATCATTATAAAATATGTTCTGATGTACATGATGCAGTACATTTATATTCATTAAAAAAAGAAAAATACAGAAATAAGAAACTCAACCCACACTAAAACAAGCTTCTGAATGCTTGAGATTCATGAATACAAAATAAAGTATCTTAACTGCAACAAAGTATTTGGAAACCAAAATTATGTTCCAACACAATTGGTAAAACGACAATAAACATTGTACTTTAATCCTAATGTCTCCCCCTAAAGACTAGAATTACTCAAACGAGCGTCTGCCTAAGTGACTGTCCTTACTTCGTGATATAAATTCACCTTTTCCAACTTAGAATTTTATCAGTTGTTGGTCAGGTATCAAATTATCTTTAAATGTCACTAATGAATTATTAATGCATCACATTCGGAAATTCAAGAAAAGGCAGCATTAAATTTACAGGAATTACACCACCGTAAAGCTACATTTATTTTAAGGCAGAAAAATAAATGAATACACAGTGACTATAACAGTTTGGTTGTCAACTTATTTGAATACAGTGCCGGTTCCAACGTACAAGTATTCATTTGAGATGTATCAGTTAACCTCGACACAATTCTTCACTCTAAAAACTACAATTTTCCTTCATAGTTTTTCACTGACAACACGCCCACTCGGCCTTGATTCGCCTCCTCCAAACATGGAAAGGTGAGTTTGGAAGGGGGCGTCGATTTTTTGGAAGATGATACGTACCGAAATTCTTCCATACACAACGCTCCAGCAAACTATCAGTGTCATGTGACAGTATATTTATTTTCAGAAAGGGACGTAAAAATGATTTAGTTTCTCCGCGTACACGGAAACATCAAGGTATGAAAAACGTAAAACGTAAACAAAATATGTGCAAGAGCTAGGCCCCGGCCAAAACCACGCTTTCGATACTAGTCGATAGCACAATAATCGCGATTGGCTTCATTAATCGATTGCATGCGAGTAAATCGTCAATAGAGCTCACACAGGTCATTAAATACCCCTCTTAATTAATGTTCATGCGCCAACAGAATTTAATCAATGATACTATTGTCCATTAAAAAAAATATTCCGGAAACGAAAGAATAAAAGTAGCGTCGTTGTAAAATATTTACAAGACCCTCCCCCCCCACTTCATATTATTTTGAGATACCTCAATAACCGAAGGGGGAAAATATTTTCAGAATGCGTAGGGATCTTCACAAGGTTTAAGAAAAAATCCGACCTGATACTCTAGGAAAGACAAAACCGATTTAAAATTTCACAGAAATATTACATGCATAAAAAATAACCCAACTGACCTGGGAGAAACGCATTACGCGCCTCGGACGTCCGCCAGTGTTCCACGTCGATGTGTCCGTCCGGTCCCCACGCCGCCGCCGCCACCACCGCCACCGCGCCCTCCTGCCGGGTTTGGAGGGGTTGCTCCCCGCCACCCCCTCGATTTGCACGACCCCTCGGGACACGACTCGCACCGGGATTTAACTGGATTTTTATTTTCGCTGTGCCACCCTCACCCTTCGGACGCAGAGTTTTAAAGCTTGAACCCTCCGGTGCTTCTCAATTGGATTGTACATAAATCAGTTTGAAAATAAGACAGAATACAAAATTTGCCTGGGGAAGGTTTCAGCGGTTATCTATATATCGATTTGAAACCTATCTAAATCCTTTCCTAGACGCATGAGTTTTTACAATTTCCGTATTCCCCCACCCCTTGAACAACGGTGTCGCAACAATGAGTTCTGGTTTTGCTTCTCACGTTAACAGGAATCCGATAACATTCGCTTAGAAAAAGGTCCCACTTACGCACTATAGTTTTATTTTATTTATTTTTTTAAATATTTTTTTACATTGTCACTATTTCTGTGACAACGTTCACAGTCACTTTTCTGTGACATTAACAATATTAGGCAATACAGTACTTGCCTATTTCTTTCAACATCAACCAAACTCTACATCATGAGTCTATTATAAATAGCCTTGAAACATTAAATTACAACCTATGAAGTATCGAACAATTTGGATTACCAGCCAAGTAAAACGTGCACGTGATTCCTGCAAGCTTCTTTTCCTTGACCATGTCATTCCAGTTGACCATCGCCATTAATTGTCAATCAATTTTTCGGTATCAATGATCCAAAAAGCATGCATTCTGACTATTCAACGTGTTACTACATTTAGGGACAAGATTTGTCCACTTTTTGTTTCCAGAGTCCAGCAATAAGAGATTTTCTTTCGAAAATTTTCCGTTTTTTCCCGCAGCATTACAGTATTTTCTATAAACTGCATAATCAATAGTGAGAAAGTAAAATCCTCTAATTATCAGTTTAAAAAAGGGAAAATAAGGGTGAAAATATTTACGGAAATGAAATGTTTTATCTCGTGCGACAATGGGGCCCTTTTTGAAAATATTCACGGTGGGCCTCGGATCCCTATGCCCCCTGTGTGTAAGCCTATGAATATTAATTTTACCAATGATATACAATTAAGTAGTTAACATTTGTACAATATATTTTTGAAAGATTAAAGAAGACCATAACAAGAATTTTACTCCAGCTTCTGGGTCAATGACCGGTCTCAACTCGGCCAGACTTTTCCTTCACATTTCCTTGAACCATTGAAAAATGTTAAGATGGCCCCTTGTTTTGCTTCTGGATATTTAATGTAGTTTCACTAAGCGCACGTTTTGCTTTGAGGTTCTTTTGCAAGTTGTGCTAGCAGTAGAGTCAGAGGTGTGGGTTGCTATTTTATTGAAAATACTATAAAATTAATGTTGTTCCTTTATCAATGCAAACAAGTTTTCTTTTACTCAGGAGCGAAAATTTATAGTTTTCAAATATTGCCAACCTAGGGCAAAAACATCGATGGTTTCAAAACATCGAAATTTGTCATTAGTAATATCGAAAAAACATTAATATTTCTTTTTTGTTCCTTAAGATCGCATCAACATCTTAGTCATTAGTGACCACTATTGCATTTAACAGTATGGTAACTGTGAAGATGGCATATTACACAATGCAACTGCTTTTTTATATCTCGGTTAATTTTTCGTTTTAAACAAATATATTAATTTATTTTTTAAATAATAAACAATTTAACGTTTCTGGAGTGTTTCAATGCATTTGCAATGCAAATTTTTGCCTAGAGAGCATTTTTTAAAAACAAATTTTGAGTGCTTATTGCGGCTTAATCATTCGGAATATCCCAGTAGTTTATTAGACAAAATATGCTTAAAATTGTCTTAAGAGTTTATTTGCGAAGTTGCGACGTGTATTTAGAAAATTGAGGTGTCAAATTTAAGTCAGAAAATACTTAAAACTAATATTTACGTTTTATGTATCATACTAGATTCAGGACGTTTTACTTCGAAGATGTATGAATGAATGTGAATAAATGAAAAATAGAAAATAAGAAGTCCGTTATTTTTTATTTCCTTCTTTAGGTTCAATAATAAATTCTATTAACATTTATTTATGTGTCAAAACAATAAAGAATAGCTCATTTAAATTCTATAAACAAAATTAGAAACAGTAGGGGAAAAGACCTGTTTATCGAATTAAAAGCATCAATATTTTAAACAACAAAATTTTTTGTCAATGTTTTAATCGATAATCGAAAATCTTTCGATTTATTTCTACCAAAATATAAATGTATCGATGATTTCATAAAATGTGCCATCACTATGCCTATTTCACTTCGTTGGTAGACTACTTTTATTCATCATTAATCTACATACAGCAAAGGATTATGGAGCTCCGAAAACGTGCGCAGACTACTTCTCTCCCATACGTCACATCCATTTTTTGACGAAAATAAATTAAATCTAATCAATCATCATGAACGTGCTCATCTTCGCAAAGCGTATGGCCCTGAACACTATTTAAATCAAGAGACTACTATGATAGAATAACTGCGACAAATTAATGCATGGATCTTTTATAAACTCCACGGCAAGTAACCTTGGCGACGGAAAGTAGAAAAACTGTATCCGAAATCCACTTGATTAACATTATACTATTTCAGTGCCATACCCAGAAGAGCGAATAATGAGATAACATTTATTATTCATTGTATTCTTGAAATTGAAACCCTGATCATTTAAACTAATGAAGTAGGGCTTAGTAATCATCAGTTACCAAAACGTACTTCTCTGAAGAGAACATTTTAAAGTCGTAAGTATTATGCAACGTTATGCAAACTTATAGCGCCCAGAGAACATAATAAGTCTTAACACTTTTTATTTTGAATGTGCCTAATTTCTTGAGCTGTAGCTATGTAGTATGTATTTATTGTGATGCAGTACAAATGCACGTTGTCGCTTTCTGATTACGATTCACATAATCACGTAGAGAAAAACCTATTGTAACTTATTAGCCAGCGTGCCTCGTGGCATCTATTTGGGGACGCTTGGTAGAGGATTAGCCTAGCCACAGGAAGATGGGTTTTTCCGTAAAGGGAAGAACACGGAAAAGGGAGACACAAGGCTTTGGGAGTATCCGGCCTATAGAAACTTTTCACTGTTATAACAAGCGAGGGGGTGGCGTGACGTAGTAGGTCACGTGGGCCTCGCCTATATAACAGAGTGTACAGAGCCAGTGGGGGGGTTCTGGAAACAGTGGGAGAACCTCGTGCGTGTGCACAAAACTTGGCGCCACGACGGTGCATATGCGAGTCAGGCTCGCGAGGCTCGAGTCACTAGTTGACGAAGCCTGTGGGCTTTATGTCCTTGGGTGACTGCTGTCACGGGGGAGCGATGCTGTGTGCGTGCTCCGAGGTGAAGAGTGGTTGAGTGCCACGATTCACGCCGATTCTCAATCGGATAAGATCGCTCCTCCGATCGAGGCAAACTAGCCGTTGGTGCGCCAGAACGGACTTTGTGTCCCAGCGTGACATCCGGTCACGGAAGCTAGGCTTTGTGCGCGCTTCAACAGTAGGAGTGGCGAATGCCACAATCAAAACCATCTTCAATCGGGTTTGAATCGCTCCCGCGATCAGGGGATAGTAGGTCTATCAGAGCTAGGGTGTAAGTAGATTATTAAGTGTATATATTTGTTTTGTTTTCTTGTTAATAATATATTTGTTATATGAAAGCTCTGTGTCTGTGGACGCTGTGAGTATCCATGACGTCACACTATCTTAATTCCACCCAAACATTTTTCTTGTCAATTTAGAAAGGTGTCGAACTACAAATAATAAGACAAAGTAATTGTTTCCCAGAAATATATAAATATAAAACATATAAATACTTACACACTAATTTGTATTGATTCGTTATACGTCCCGTAAATTGGCCTCTGCACGCTTAGATCCCGGGGTTTGTAATCGGTCACCCAACCAGGAACCTGCGATGTCCCGAATTCGCTTAACATACATTTATGAGTTCGGCTTTTGACGATGGTTTCGCGGTCGTTTCAGGTCTTGAGGAGGCCAAAGACTGGAAGGAGAATGCATTATGTCCGGACCAGGAAATAAATAGTTTAGAAAACCTTTGGTAGATTAACTTGCACTCGGCTTCTGCCGGGAGCTTTTCCCACCTCAGCCGTAGCTTATGGTCTTTTCACGGCGGCTTTGTTGCTATGGAGAGACCATTTCCGATAAATACCAGAATTCGAAAGGTTAGAACATGGTAGGATGTAGGTATTGTAATGGCTTAAAGGCCCTAGCCACTTAGTACCAAGTTATTTAATTTATGCGTGATAATTATGTATTAAATGAAAAATAGCGCCATCGTATTTGCGGTTCGGGCCTTTTAGTAGAACCATCCCAGAATTCGCCTGGATGACGTAGGGAAAACCACGAAAATCCCCGGTCAGGATGGACGGCACGGAGTTTGAACAGGGGTCCTCCCGAATGCGAAGTCAAACCTTATGCGTTATATTACATACTGGGGTGATCCGGAGTTTAGGGTGGCACGGTTCCTTTGGTTCATTGATTCGGTTCATTATTTCTCGTGATTCACAAGATTTTAGTTGCGCGGTTCACTTCATTCACTAGAGAATAATTTTGCTGGCATTGATTAATTTTCTTAAATCAAAGCATAAAAATATACACAAAATGACTATGAATCAATGCCACATGAAGCTATACATTTTGCTATTACGAAACATTTCTTCTTCATCTTCACACATTTTAAATTTCAGTTCACGTCTAAAATTACACTTCACAACACTCTTTCAAACTTAAATATAAATATAGACTTGATTTTCTAATTAAACAGCGTCCTAATAACACATTTAGTTGTTTCTATGACAACAAAATTATTTTATTTATTATTCATAAATTGATGAAGTATAAGATTCTAAAGACTTTGTTGGTTTGGATTTGCGTGTTTTTTTCGCATTTCAAGTTGTCTTTTAATAGATTTGTGTGTCTATCGAGATGGAAGGTATGA